CTACCTATCTATCTATCTATCTATCTATCTATCTATCTATCTATCTATCTGTCTATCTATCTTTGTAATAAGTGTTGGGGATTGAATGCACTCTCTACCACTGAGCACAGAGAACTCCATCTTCTTTTTCACCCCTGGTCCTTTTCCTCACATGTCCAGGAGTCTTTTAGGGTCATTATCTACTTCCTATCCTCTAAACCTTCCCTGGTGTGCTTAGGCTGTTCTCTCTCCCGGATCTCCACTAGTGAGCACAGTGCTTCTCTGAGCCTGGCCATCACATCCCAGCACCTTTGCCCAGGGAGGGTCTGAAGCCAGAGGGGCACAGCTTGCCTGAGCTTGTTTGGCCTGACTCCCTTTGCCCCTCAGCAGCTTAGCTCTCCCACCTCTTCTCTGAGTCCTCCTGTAAACAAGAGGATCAGGAGAGAGCTGACAGCTGCCTGGTGGGAGCAAGTCCCTGGTTAGCTCAGAGCAGGCATGCAAAGGGCCTGCACTGGATGCTGCCAATCCTTTTTCCTTCAGGGAAATTCTAGGCTCTCTTTTTTGGCTGTCCACTGCACAGTCACATTCCACGGGCATGTACGTGGTCTTCCTTGCTTTCATCATCGCTATTCCCATTTTGTGGCTGGTTTTGTGGCTGGTTCTGGGCTGTAAACTTCCTGTTTTTTCTTTTTCTGAGAAAATGTCAAGCAACAAGTCCAGGTGAGGAGTGACAACCCTACTTGCGCAGCAACAACAGACTACACACAATAGAGCCCCAAGCATGGGGGAATCATGACAGATGACCTAGGTCTCCAGTCTGTGTGGAGAAAACTTGGATGTCAAATGTCCTCCAAGGCTGGGCGTGGTGACACATGGTGGCAAGTGTCTTTATACCCTGCACTAGGGAAGCAGAGCCAGGTGGATCTCTGTGAGTTCAAGGCCAGTCTGGTCTACAAAGCAAGTTCCAGGACAGTCAGGGCTGTTAACACAGAGAAACTCAATCTCTAAAAGCAAGCAAGCAAACAAACAAAAACCCCAAAAGTCCTCCGAAGGCACATGAGTTCAAAACTTGTCACTATTGGACAGTGGTGAAAGTTTCAAGAGGTTTGGGAAGTCTTCTTGTCATGGGGTATATCTGTGAGGAAAACGGGGCCCTAGCCCCTTCCTCTTTCACGTGAGTCGCTTTAAAGTGTGTCCCTGCTGTGACAGCTGACTCACTTCAGACAATAAACAATGGGGCCAAGTGCTCACAGACTGGAATCCCTACAGCAGCAAAACAATCCCCTTCTCCCCCCACCCCTTTGTGTGATAGTTCTGGCTGTCCTGGAACTCACTCTGTAGATCAGGCTGGCCTCAAACTCACAGAGATCTGCCTGCCTCTGCCTCCTCCAGAGTACTGGGACCAACAGCATGCGCCAACACCACCCAGCACAAACCTCTTTTCAGGTATTTATTGAAGCATTTATGTTAGTGGGTTTTTTTTGTTTTTTTTTTTTTTTTTGTGACAAGTCTAAGAAAAATCAAAGGAGGAGAGATTTATGTGGACCAATGGTTTCAGTTTCAGTGGATGGTTACTACTGCTTTGATCCAAAATCTAACATCATGGTGGAGAAATCTAACATCATGATGGAGAAATCTAACACCATGATGGAGAATATTGGTGAAGCCAATAGAGAAGAGGGGTGTGGAGAAAGAGGGAGGGAGGGAGGGGAAAGATATACGAGTGAACTAAGGAAAAGATGTACCATTCACAGGCACAGTTCTTCCAGCTAGGCCCCACCTCTTGACAGTCAATTCTATGTGAACTCCTCAACTGATAAACTCATTGAGATGTTTAACATTCTCATCTGAATGCTTCTCAGCTGTGCCCTTCTCTGGGAAACAAGCCTTCAACACAGGGGCCTTTGGGGGGGTATTTATATCCAAGCAGTGATGGAAAACGGATATAGTGCTGGTACACACACACACACACACACACACACACACACACACACACACGGAGTGGGGAGAAGATGGGTTGAATGTAGGCATCTGTAGACTGGTGGTTCTTAAACGTTAGTGTGTGTCAGAATCGCTGGAAGGGCTTATTAAATCACTGATGTCTATATCTTACCACAGAGTTTCTGATTCTGTGAGTTTGAGGTAAAGTCAGAGAATTGGTTTCTTCAAGTCCCCAAGAGATGCTGTTATTGCTGATCTGAGGACCACACTTTGGAAGCCATAGTCTTAAGTAGTCTGCATCTCCTAGCTCTTTGGTAACTCATAAGACTGGGACTAGGTTAATTGTTATAACTGAGGACTCTTGGGACTGACGGAGCCAAGACCTTACTCTGCACTGGGAAAGAAGATCTATTAACTAACTTTCTGGGTGTCCTCAGAAGATGGGGGAATACCCTTTAATATCTGGAGTTTATTCTAGCACAGACCCTATTTAAACAGCTTCAGGCAGGTTTAAACGTCTCCTTGGCTAAGTCTTAGTATCCCTGCTCCAGCTCCCACGGGGGGATGATAGCCCTAAGAGGTGTTAGTAGATTAGACTGAAAATGTAGGTCATATCCCAGCCGTCTGGGAATCATAATGAGCAAGTGAGGAAGGAGAGGGGGGACTGAGACCCACACAGGGAAAAGGTGAGAGGAAGCAGAGGGCTCCTGAGGGTCGTTAGTTACAAAAGCATACCTGGTGAACTTGTCGTGATTAGATTTCAGCCCTTTTTGGTGACCTGAGAAAAGACAAGGAGTATGGCCCCGTTTTTTCCTGTCCCTTCTCTCAAGCTCGTCTTAGGGTCGAGTTGTTAAGAGCGGGATTCTTCATGGAGAAAGTTGCTTATCTTTCTGATACAGTGTCTCTAAGAGGTATAAGGTTAGCCAGGGTGAAGGTGGGCGGGGGTTGGAATGAGAGGATGCTTGAAAAGAGGAAACAGGACCCAACAAGCCAGAAGAGAATGGGAGGAGATGGTGTATCTGTCCCACAGATGTAGACAGGAGGTGGGGAGTCCTAAAAGATGGAGTTTGTCTGGACTCTGACCAGCCCTAGGCTGACTGACCTGAGGGTTACGTCATATGGAGGGTGGTACGCACATATAAGTGCGGCCACCAATAAGAAGCTTTCTTGGGGGCAGATGCCCCTTTTCCTTTCTGGAGAACTAGTGGTACCTATCCTTTACTGTCCTCAGCATCCCAGCCCCAGGCCAATGAGATATGCAAATGAGCTCTTTATCTCATTGGCTGAGGCTCCAAGGCTACAGATGATCTCAAAGAACTAGCTCTTTAAGAGTGCCCTCTGGGCTCTGTGCCCATAGCCCCCTTGTTCTGAAGACAGGGGCACCAGACCCTGCTCTATGGAGTCTCTAGTCTCTGGCAAAGCGGTGCCTTTCTGATTCTGACACCGACTACGTCATCTCCGCGCTTCCTAAAGTGAGTACGTCTGGTGACCTGCCCCACAGAGCCCTCCTCTGACCCCTGCAGCTGTTCTCTGTCCTATCTTATGTCCCCACTCTTCTGTCCAACTTCCCCTGCTTAGTGTTTAATGTCTCCTGTCTCTCTGGACACCCCAATCAGTGTCACGCCAAAGGCTAGCTCCTTCCAGCACCCTGTTCTCTCATGATTGAGTGGTTCTGCCGTGGACAGCTTGCCCCTGGAAAGGAAGAGAAGCCTTGTCTCCTTGTCCACCTCTCTGCTCAGTGTGGAATCTGAGATGTGGCTGAAGAAAAAAGGGAATCAAGAGGCAGCTAGAGCCCAAGCCTGGGGGATAAGACTCTGAGCATTTCCACTTCGGGGCCTAGGGAATTGGGAGCTGAAGTAGAGCTAGGATGCCCACACTGGGATGTGTAAACTAGTGAGGTAAACTAGCCGGAGCTGAACACGGCAGAGTCCCTTAGTGTTGGAAATTTGGCACACTCTGTTGAACTGCGTTTGCTCAAGGACTTCTTGGGTTAATGTACTTTCACGCTTGTGAATCTGCAAGAGATGGGGCTAAGAGGTAGCCTTCCCTAAAATTACCTGTGTATAAACCTTTTCTAGGGCATGTCTCAGAATTAGTGTTCCACAGAACAGTCTTCAGTGAAGTTTTCAAAGTCTAATTGCCCACAGGATCAGAAAGCGAAGGCAATCTGCTCAAACCCACATTAATATAGTGGGTTCTGAATCAAAGAAGATCTGCCCTCCTGGGCTCTCTTTGGAGAGATTGACCTTGAGGAGAGAGAGTGGCCACTTGGTCCAGATCTTTCTAGAACCTTTTCCCCATAGGAACCCTCTTAGAGAAGAAGAGGTTTGTCTGTTGACCCATAGAACAGATGTGTAAAGTGATACTATCCTGAAGGCGTTCAGAGATAAAGTTAACAGCACAATGTTCTTAGGCCCTAAAATTCATAGCCTAGTGTCTTCCCACTGTCCTAAAACACACATATACACACACGCACAGCCACACACACAGAGACAATACACACACAGACACACACAGACACACACACACAGACACACAGACACAGACACAGACACACGTTAATTAAGCTCACATTTTAATTGACTGTAAATGGAACTGTGCCTCTGGAGATGACAGAGCTCCTCAGGATGCCCCAGCACTGGGATGCTGCCATGCTGCTGTTGTTTCTCATGGATGCCAGAGGCATCAAAGCGGTGAGAGGCTGTGCTGTCTGTCCATTTTGTCCTTCAGGGCTCCAGTTTCTTGTTGCCTGACAGGAGCCGCCTGGAAGCCACTGTGCAGGGAAGACGGGTGGCCGCCTTCCTACTCTGAAGTCCCTGTGCTCTAGTTTCAGGGCACTTGGGTCTGGGGGGAAGGAGGTGTAGAGAGAGGGATGGCAGACACCCCTCAAACAGTTCGGACCTTTCCTTTTTCTTGCAGGTATCAGCTCACTTCCAGAATGGCCCGTCCCCCGAGTCCCTTGGCTATGGAATATGTTAATGACTTTGACTTGATGAAGTTTGAAATAAAGCGGGAACTCCCAGAGGGCCGACCTGGACTCCCCACAGCCTCACTGGGCTCCACACCTTACAGCTCAGTGCCTCCTTCACCCACCTTCAGTGAGCCAGGCATGGTGGGCAGTAATGAGGACCCCAGGCCAGGCCTGGAGGAGCTGTATTGGTTGGCCACTCTGCAGCAGCAGCTGGGGGCTGATGAGGTGCTGGGGTTGAGTCCTGATGAGGCTGTGGAGCTGCTTCAGAACCAGGGCCCAGTCCCTGTAGAAGGGCCCCATGGCTACTATTCAGGGAGCCCAGGAGAGACAGGAGCCCAGCATGCCCAGGTAAGTGACCAACAGGTTGGTCTGAGGGGAGGAAGAAGTAGGGAAGGAGAAAATCAAGAGAGGGAGGATTCCTGGAGAGGGTTATGGACTGGAAAGAGACAGAGGAAGGTCCTTGAGAAAACTATATCGATTTTTCAAAATGGAAGGGAATAGTTGCATTATGGGGTACAGAGAGAAGGTAAGGAGGAAGCCAACAGTTGTGGTTAATGCGTCTAATCCCAGTACTCCGGAGGCAGACTCAGGCAGATTTCTGTGAGTTAGAAGCCAGCTTGGTCCAATAAGTTATGTTCCAGGTCAGCTACACTACACAATGGGACCCCGTCAAAAAACAAAACAAAACAAAAGATTAGAAGGGGCCTCAAAGGGAAAAGGGATTAGAGTTTAAGAGCATGGTGGGGGATGAGCGATTGTGTAGAAGCAAATAGATAAATGATGTGTTGAATCTAGCTGAGTAAAGGCTGTGGTTGAAGTTAGCTTTTTCATGGCTCCGTTTTTCCCCCAGCGCCTAACCTTCTCAGAAAGGATTGGGACTCATCCTATTAATTATAGACACAGATGGGGGTGTTGAGGGCATTAGGATGTAATCCAAATCCTTGAGGGTCACCGGGCTGTGCAGTTCAGGACAGGGAAACGTGTCGTCTGTGGCAAGGGCAGAGTCTGTTTGGGTGCGGGTCCCCCAGGACATTGCGGACAGTTGAAGGGTACGACCAGAGGCGTGATTGGCTCGCCGGAGTGCCGGGGGCGGAGCTCACACTGCGACACTTGGAGGGGCCCAAAGGCTATGTGCGTGCGTGTGTGTGTGTGTGTGTGTGTGTGTGTGTGTATGTGTGTGTGTGTAGTCCAGGACGTGTCGGAACTTGGGGTGGGGTCTGTAGGAAGAGCGAGCATGCAGTAGGTGAAAGTGCATGTTCCCTGGACTCCCAAGAATTCCCTGACACTCTGTGTCTAGCCCGGTGGGACCTGCACTGATCTGGTCCCTGCACTCTTCCTCCGCAGCTGCCCGAGAGATTTTCGGACGCGGCGCTGGTCTCGATGTCTGTGCGCGAGCTGAACCGGCAGCTGCGGGGCTGCGGGCGCGACGAGGCTCTGCGGCTGAAGCAGAGGCGCCGCACGCTCAAGAACCGCGGCTACGCGCAGGCCTGTCGCTCCAAGCGGCTGCAGCAGCGGCGCGGGCTGGAGGCAGAGCGTGCCCGCTTGGTCGCCCAGCTGGACGCACTGCGGGCCGAGGTGGCCCGACTCGCTCGCGAGCGCGACCTCTACAAGGCCCGCTGTGACCGGCTGACCTCCAGCGGCCCTGGGTCCGACGACCACGCTCACCTCTTCCTCTGAGCCTCTAGAGCAGGGGGTGTGGCGGTTTGGAGGTGTCTGGGTAGGTGGCACTCACCAAATCGCTACCCGAGGCCCTGTGTGTCGATACAAATGTTCCCAAACTACTGACCCTCGTGGCATGTCTGAGCTTAGATGCTCGCCCTTTCCTGGAGGTTAGACCCCTTCTCTTTTGCAGGCCATGACTTTTCATGATTAGAACACTGAATTCTGCAGGGGCTAGTGCCTGTACTGAGGGTGAAGGTGTGGAGGCTGGGTGGATGGTATGCTCAATAGGAGGAGAGGGAGGGGTGCAGCGCCCTCCTTCAGTCTAGCTTTTAATTCAAGGTTTTCAACCTGTAATGCATTGATGCTGTAATTAACAATGAAGCTGCATTTTAACTGACGCTTGGTACTCCCCTTTAGAGGACTACCGAATTTTCAAGACTTCAGTTTCTTCAAACAGAGTAGTAGATTAACTCAAGATGATATTTCCTGCTTAAGCCAGTGACCTTTAGAATCCAAAGCGACAGAGTAAACACCCTGGATGGGAGCCTGGAGACCTGGGCACTGGTCTCAACTGTGTCGCGGGCTATATGGTCTGTTACTTAAGCAAAGCAATTGCCATGGGATTTCAGTTACTTCCTCTAACTTTCGCTTGGATTGGATGACTTCTGACACTGTTTTAGTTTTGGCATCTTCCACAGTGAGCAAGTCTAAATGGTCTCCCCAAGGGGCTCCAAGATAACGGCACCAAAAGGACATCCTGTTCAGCCTCCAGGCTGTAGCTCAGGCGGTAGACACACAGCTTGGCTTCTCTGGAAATTCTCATTTGCACCGGCTCTCTGTGGCTCCCTCTAGGCTGCCTCGGCCTCCCTACTGCAGAGGGTGCCCCTGCTACCTCTTGCCACTCAGAGCTGAAGTGCGACCTCACAGGATAACCAGGAGCCCAGAAAGGGTGGCTTTGGTGAATTAAACCTAAAGCCCAGGAAAACTAATCTTGTTGGTTAAAAGTTCTTGCAACTTAAAAAGATTCAAGTCTCCATCACTGCTCCAGCTACTGGCCTGTGTGTCTGCTGTGAGGAGGGAGACAGAGGAGTGAGGTGGGGGGAGGTCTGGGGGAGTCTGTTGTATCTCAGTTGTAGATTGCTTGTCTCATTTATGCAGAGAGAGAGAGAGACCCTTCACGGAGTCGAGCAGTGTATTCCTCTCGGTTCTAGAGTGCCGATGACAGTGGATTGGAGGGGGTGGGGAGTGGTCCAGATGGAGCCTCGCCCACCACTATCCACCACCGCAACCAAAGTCCGGGAGCAGCAGTGGCCCTAGCTAGGCCTGTCTGTGGCTGTCCTCCAGGGCTCAGAGTTGCCATGGCAACCCAGCCCTCCAGTTCAGCAACATATGGGGAGGGCCTTTGGGCAGAGCAGAGACTTTGAGCTGGGAGTGTCCACCTCATCAGCCACTGTCATCTGTCCTCCAAGGGGCATAATAAACGGGAGAAGCAGTTCTGTGTGGGGGAAGTGGCTCCCATATGTCCTTCTTCCTTTCTGCCCCCACTACCCACCCCCTGACCAGCTGTCTCTTCTCTTCCCATCACATTCCTTGTTCGCACTGTCCCCTCCTCTAGCCTAGCTCATCCTTCGTCTATGCAGGAGACTGAAAGCGCAGTCCTTGCCTGCAGACCCCTGCTCTGCTCATTCCTTTCCCTTGCCTGCCCTTTGGCCAGCGGCCTTCCTCTTTAGCTTGGGTTCCTCCCTATGAGAACTCTCAGCATCTTCCTCTTCAACATCCATTGTTGCAGGGAGAGGCTGGGGCAGAGGGAGCTCACCTAGGATCTCAATTCTTCTTCCTTTACACTGTGTTTCTTTTTCTTTTTTTTACTATGTAGCCCAGGCTGGCCGCAAACTCACAATCCTTTTTACTTTTACTTTCCTTCCTTCTTTCCTTCCTTCCTTCCTTCCTTCCTTCCTTCCTTCTTTTTTTGAGACAGGGTCCCACTGTGCAGCCCTAGCTGGCCTGAAACCCACTTTGTAGACCAACCCCGGCTTGCCTGCCTCGCCTGGTGTGCTGGTGCTGGGATTAAAGGCTACCACCCCGGCTGTGTTCTCACTTTCCAAGTGCTAGGGTTATAGGCACGTGGCACATCTCCTTCCTTTCCCTTATTCTGAACTTCATTTGTGTCCTCTTCCGTCCTTTGGAGCTCCCATTCAGCCCCTTGGCTCTCTTGCACCCCCTCCATATCTGCATGCCACACAAGGGTAGAGACGCTGTCCTCAGACACTTATGCCCACAAACCATCATGCATCTACGAGGTCTCAAGGTGGCATGTCTAGACCCTGTAGCTAGCTGCGGTACGGCAGTGATGAAACATGTGGGTGTTGTGGCTAGGCAGCTCCGGTTCTGGCTCTTTTCAGACCTTGAAGTGTTAAAATCAAGCCTTACTCGCTTCCTCGAATAAACAGAGAAGTAGCACTCTGGCTTGCTATCACAATACACATCGAAAGGAGCCAAGTGTGACGTGTGAAAGAACAATACTGGCTGTGGTTGCCATGTTAGCAGTAAGAGGACCCAACTGGACTTCCTCAGTGTGTGGTGCAGGAGCGCGGAAAACCAGGCCTTGCAGGCCTCAGTCTCCTCTCTGTGCTCCTAACTCATTAGCACACCTGCTGCACCCCCTCATGGCTCCACCATCCCTCCAGGGCCTGCCCTGCAGCTGTGTGGGGGCTGGGGCTCAGCCCCTGGGATACTCAGCGGGGCCTCTCTGGAGACAGATCTAAGAAAGCATCAGCCTGCCCTCTTGACAGCCCCTCATTACCCTCCACCATCTCCTGCAATTAACGCCCATGGTGCTTAGACCCCCTGGGCTTGGGGGGTGAGAGTAGGGGCTCCATAGTTCCCACTGGCACACAGTTGGGGGTTGCAGAGACAACAACATACTTGGGGAGCTCTGGCTCAGATTTGGAAGGAGATTTGGCCCCCTTTTCTATGGTATATGTGGGAGTGATGGGCTCTTCAACGGACATCTGAGGCTGGAATACTTGGGTAGATCCCTTTATTAACACCCATAAGCCACAATCACTGAAGGAAGTCATTGAGGGTCCACAGAGTTGAGGGGTATGGGGCTTGAAGAGATGGCAGCAGGGCCTACCACTCACTTCCAGGACTCACAGGGCACCACTGGTCCAAGAGGCAGAGACACTGGTCACTGGAGTCACAAGGGTCAGTACAGGCACCTGAGAGGTGTAGGATGGTCACAAGCATTCCGCCAGCCACAGCAGCCCAGATGGGTCGTTCAGAAGCGCCACTCCGGACCCATTCTGCATCCTCCCTTTTGATCCCCAAGAACTCACTGAAGGAATGAGGGGGTGTTGACTTGTGGAGAGGCAGTCACGGGCTGGGACTGGGGCTCACAGCCGGCGTGGAGGGTCTGGGAGCTCCTGGACTGATCCCTTGGCTGGCGTAGTACTCTACCACCTGCCGCGGTACCTCTGCCAGGACACACTTAGCCAGGGCAGAGGGAGCAGCCTGCGGAGGGAAAGAGACTGGTTAGGGGTCGGAGAGTGGCATCCGCTGGGTCAAATGAGCGACTGGTGGGGCTTCAGAGTGGCATGCTGGATGCTGGTGATCTTCAAAGGACATCAAGAGGATGAGAAAGACAGATTTGGGCCAGGTGGTGTTGGCACATGCCATTAATCCCAGCATTTGGGAGGCAGAGGCAGGCAGAGCTCTGTGAGTTCGAGGCCAGCCTGGTTTACAGGTGAGTTCCAGGACAGCTAAGGCGGTTACACAGAGAAACCCTGTCTTGAAAAACAGGAAAACCAAAACCAAAAAAAAAAAAAAAAGAAAGAAAGAAAAATAAAAAAAGAAAGAAAGACAGGCAGATTTGGGGGGCATGAATTGTTGAGAAGCCCTTTCACTGGAAGAGAGTACTGAATACTCACATCCTTGAAGTCCCTGAAGGGCACAAACTGGACGATGTCACGGGCTGCAGGTATCCCTTTTGGGCAACGCAGGGGACCATCATCTCCATCCAGTAGCCTCATGTCAGAGAAGTCAGCGTTGCCCACACCCACAATAATGATGGACATAGGCAGGCGGGAGGCTCGCACAATGGCCGCTCGGGTCTCGGCCATGTCACTCACCACACCGTCAGTGAGCACCAGCAGTACCGAGTACTTCTGGGGGCGAGCAGAAGGCAAACACGGGTTGATTCTGTATGAAAGGGCGCCGATACTCTTTCCAAACACAGGTCCTGACCCGGCAGGGCGGCACCTGCTTATCTGTTTTGCTTCCTCACCGTGGCTTGGCCAGTGCTCTGCTCCCGCTGGGCTGGCTCAGCCACGCGGTTGATGATGGGGGCCACGTTGGTAGGACCGTAGAGCTGGATCTGAGGCAAGCAACGGCGGTAGGAGGCTATAACTCCTGAGATCTCTGTAGGCAAAGAAAAGAGGTGAAGCTGGCATGGTCAGCAGGGGCTCCAGGCACAGCAGAGTGGCTCCCAGCTTCTCACTAAGCAGAGAGAAGGGGAGAGAGAGAGAGAGAGAGAGAGAGAGAGAGAGAGAGAGAGAGAGAGAGAGAGAGACTGATGGTCCTTGGGGCCCGGAGATGCTGGGTCATAGCACGCTTCCCAAATGAAGACAGGCTTTGGATGGGAGGAAGGGATGGGTCAGGGAGCTGAGCATGCAGGAGTAGTGTCTGTGGTTCTGAGGAGGTCACAAGCATCTATAGTGGCACAGGCTGATGTAACTTCCCCAGCTTACCTTCACATTCAGGATTTTCTGGGTCAAAGTTGATGGCAAAGTCATGGGACACCTGTAAGATTGAGAGGCAAGGTAATGAAAGAGCATCTCCTTTCTGTTTCCCCTGCCATCTTCCTGTCTCTTGTACCCAGCCTACCTCAAAGTTTGGGGGAATTCGAGCTCCAAAGCCGAAAGCTGGGAACCGTTTATCACTGGAGAGAGGAGAAAGCTGTGAAGGTCCTGGGCAAGGCCTCCCTTTCTGACCCACACCCTGCCCCCTCCCGGTACCTGTCATAGTCCTGGCAGATGCCTCCCACTGTGCGCAGGGCCTGCAGGTAGTGATTGGGCTGTCGGGGGCTGAGGCAGTGCAGGGATTGGCTGCTCCTTGGGTCCCCATTGGAGGCAGTGAAGTCGATGGCCACCTGTGTGAAGGTGGGGAAGGGTCATGCTGCAGCCTTGAGAACAGACAGGCTAGGCCAGAGGTAGAATGTGTTACAGAACCAGGGTGATTCTAGGGGAGCCCACGGGCAGCCTCATAGCTGAGTGGGGTGTTGGATGCAAGGTACACCAGATGCCCAATTATTTAGGGCAGTGAGACTCTGGCTTCCTTAAGTTTGCATGGATTTAGGCCCTCCCTCTTTCTTATGCCATGCCTCTGCCTCCCGGGGTGGGACTTTACCGTGAAGCTGATCTGGCAGCCACCCATGATGTAATCCAGGAAAGTATGCACTTTTTCCACCTGGCAGAGGGGCAGGGGTAATGAGGTAGGTGAGACGGTTCTTTCCGGTGGAAGCTTTGGCAAGGCTTCATGGGGAAAGTGGGGCCAGGGTGGGGGACTAGGGTTTTAAAGGTTACAGCTGAGGATGGGGAATGGAACAAAGGTTCCCAGTTCTCAGAGCAAGTCTTTAAAGCAAGGGAAGGATAGACAGACAGACAGACAGACAGACAGACAACAAATAAATAAAGAAATGCAAACAATAAATGGTTGGGGAGATGGCTCGGTAGGTAAAGGTACTTGTTGCCAAGCCTGAAGACCAGGGTTTGATCCCCAGGACAAACATGGTGCAAGGAGGGGGCTGACTCCCAAAAGTTGTTCTTTGCCCTCCACATGGGCTCAATGGCACTGATGTGTCCACACAAGCACACTCCCAATAAATAAATGGAAAGTTTTTTAAAATTAAGAAGGAAGGAAGGAAGGAAGGGTCTCATGGGTTTGAGACTGTAGTTGGGCAGGGGCAGTGGTG